GTTATAACCTAGAGGCATGTGTATTGATGTGATTTCAAAAACAGATTTCATTAATGATATCTTTGGTTAAAAGGACCTGAAACACTAAAGTTGTGTTTCATAACTGTAGCTCCCTAGCCCACTTTACATGAATACTTGTGTTAAACTAAAAAACACCTCTTGAGACACTTCAGTATTTTTAGGGTCTTTAAGATGAAATTGTGACAAGGGGTAAAGAACTCAGTGATTTTCCTTACCTTGCTAAAATGTAGTTTCATTCTTCAGAGGTATAATGGCTGATAATGCCATTATAGGCCATCACCATCAAGGATTGTTAATTACCCTGGAGAGATGTGACATTCGCGACCAATGGATAGTTGTATCTGTTGATACAAATAACTCCCAAATAACTAAAGGAACTAGGGGTTATTTTTAATTTTATTAGGGGCTTTCTGTTAGTTAGTTGGTTGGTTGTTTATTTATTTGGTTGTTTGTAAGCTTTGAGGGTTATAAAGGCAGAATAAAAACAAATTTTAGATGTGGACTTCAGGGAATAGGATCCCTGAAGAAACAAGAAACGTATCCAAGAGGAATCACTAAATACCTGGACTCTATATGAAGATAAGACTATCAATACAAAAACACAATAGTTAGCTTTGATAAAATGACTAAAAAATCTAGTTGGATCATAGTGGATCAATAATGTTCAGAGTTACAGAACACCTCAGGAACAAAATCTTAGCCTTAAATGGAATATAATTCCTTATTTCCTGAAGGGTCCCCCCCACCCCCCGCATTATTATTCCTACTAGAATTCAATTAGACACAAAAAAAGAATTTAACTTGGTGAAAATAAGCTCAGAAGAATGCAATAAAAGCTAATTCTAAACTATAACTTTGACATGGGGTGGAATAAAGAAGTTTTAATCACTTAGAGCACAGATATAAAACTGCTGGATCATCTGTACATGTCAAATAAAACTTCAGGCATTCTCATGTAGACATCTGTCAAATATCCCTGAAAAGTACTGATTTCATATATTTTCTGTCCCATTGTCAGCTACATCACGCTATAGGTTTTGAAAACTATTGTTTCATTTGTTCCTTATTACCATTGAAGGTAGGCAGAAAAATTATAACCATTTTACAAATGAGGAAGAACTATGTTCAGAGATTTGTTCAGAATCATCTGATAAAGTCAAGAGTAGAACTTCAGACTCCTGGTACAATATTCTATCTGAGTACACTCTGCTACCTTCTATTGAATGGGGTTCTATAATGCCAATTTGGTAGCCTCCAAATTCACCAGGTAATTTAAGATGACCACAATTTCTTTGATTTTTGAATGAAAGTTTATTAGTTAAAATCTCTTAAAACACAACAGTAAAATGGTTTGGCCCAATGGCTAATAAGGACTACAATTGAATTATCATCTAATAACTGGTAGTAATCATCACAGTAAGGATGCAAGTATGTAGTCACAACTGCCCACACACTTTAGCCAAAGCATACAAACACTTGTACTACCTAGCCCACTGCCATCCACCAGCCTATCTCCCTTGGTTTTTACATCTTTGAGCTTGTCTCAGATATCTCCCTCTTTACCCGTCCATGACATACAACAGTTGGCTTTGGAGTTGGTCTCAAGAAGATTCAGAAAGAGGCTAGTTTGGATAGAGGATCAGCCCCTCTCTCCATTCTCCTGTAGGAGAGATGTAGGATTCCAATCAGAGGTATTAAGTCAGTTGACTGCCAAGTTAGTTAATATGTCTCCCTCTTATCGGGCTTTAGGGTACATGACTTGTGTCAATTGCCAATCAATCAGCTATTTCCAATCAGCAATTTTTATCAACATCTTAGGGTTGACTAATTTGCATATGACAAAAACAGGGCTTGGTTTATAAACCTGCTTAGAAACTAACTTCATACCATAAACTAACTTTCCACCATAAATAACTGCATAATTGTTGACAACTTATTACTTTTCATCTCTTGAAAAACTCTTTCCTACTAGCTCTTGCTCCTAAATATTTTCTTATTTCCTAAACTTATTTATTATCACTATTAACTCTTATTTCTAATTCTGTTCCATTTAGCAAACATACTCAGTACAACAGTCCACTCCTGGGAGAAAAGTTATATCTTAACTATTCTTAAACATATAATTATACAATAAAAGAAAACATTGCAGTATATTTTATCTAGTCCTGAGATACCATTATAGTCCAATATTTCCAGGTGACCTAGCTAGCCAAAAGGCTAGCCAGTTCCACGTATTGTGAGGTTGTAGCATCTTCCTGCTTTGACATCTAAGGACTGTGTTGGCCATTAGTTGTTTTACAGTAGGATCCAGGTCTTTATCTTGTTTCAAGGTCTGGAGTAGTCTCACAGGTTTCTCTTGATGTATTTTGATGATCTGCTCGAGTTAGTATAGTTTCTTGTCTTCCCTCATTAACCCTAAGGGTTTTAACAATCTATTGGGAAATTGTTGTAAAATCCATATTCCAAAGTTTTACTCTTCAGTATCATGTTTGAGAAGCAGCAGTTCTATTCGTTTACAGTCAAACTGCTCACCAAATAGAATTTGTAGCAGACTGGTGGTCTCTCCTTGGATGTTTCCTGATCTTATCCAAGTAGTTATATTTTGAATTTTATTCTAACACAAAATTATAGCCCAATTTCCTAAAGTCCAAATTCCCAGTGGGGAGTGTATATCTTCCCTGGCTGTTTCTAAGCCTTTAATTAAAGCATAGATTCTATCTTTTAACTGTTATCCAGTGCCTCTGTTATTATTCTTCTCAATTGCTAAATGTATAGATTTCCTTCTTTAACTGTTATCTCTAATCTTCCTTGTAAAACTGCTCCTATTGGAATGGAGGGATAAACAGTTTCTTCTTGCTCTGTTTAGGTTAGTTTGGCATAGTCCCTTTACACTGCCTCCATTGTTTGCTACTTTTGACATAGCTGCATATCTAGAATCTCCTGCACTTGTCTAGTTATTGCAGAAGTAAGATCCCTCAATTTGCTGTCTAGTAGGGCCGTCTGGTATTATCCACAGTAGTTGGTCTGTGACATAATTTTTATTTCTATTATTTGTGTCTTTGTTTGCCTCCCTAAGTCACCTACATTTTCATCTACTCTGTCAGTCTTTCCATATAGCAGTCTATTGTGGAACTTTCTCATATTAATGTTTTAGAAGCTCCATAAGTTCTTTTGATTTTCAAAAGAGTCTGCAGTAGCTTTTTTTGATACAGTAGTCTCTTTCCATAAATTTGTTAGGTCAAAATATTCTGAAATTCAGTAGCCAAACTGACTTATGTTTCTCCTGCTACTGCTCATCTAAATAAGGTTATACCATCTATAATCATCTCCATTTCTTTCACCACACCACCTGATGCCATTGAGTCAATTCTGACTCATGACAAACCCATGTACGTCAGAGTAAAACTGTGCTTCATAGGGTTTTCAATGGCTGATTTTAGGGAATAGCCAGGCCTTTCTTCTGAGGCACTTCTGGGTAGACTCATACCTCCCAGCTTTCGGTTAGCAGCCGAGCACGTTAACCATTTGCACTAACCAGTTAAAGATAGCTTATTAGCTATGTATGCAGACCTCACTTAGTATGAGATTCAGCACTTGTCATGTTGGTCAACTCTAAAGAATGTGTATTAATTGTCATTTTAAACCTTTTGACTATGTTTTAGGACTCTGAATTAATTGGTATAGTCTGGTTTCTACCAAGGTAGATTGCCTTCTATATGTCATTTCTTTACAATACGCTAATATTACATTGGCCAGTGGCACACCAGTATGTCTTTACCTTGTTGCTGCCCATGTTATGAAATGCAAAGGCTATTTTCTAAGGAGGCCCATAGCATCCATGGGCCTGTATGAAGGGTAGCTATTCTTCCAAACAGAAGTGAAGATACTCTATGGCAGGAAATGGTGTGATCAGTGAATTTCCTGCACATTTATTTGGTCCCTCTCAGTTTGATAATGGGGGTCCTTCAACTATTGCATTTTCTCCTTCTGCCACTGGTAGAATTATTGCGGTTAACTCTCTGTCCACATGTTGCTTAAAGTAATTATTGCTCCCATCTCTCAACAGTAAAGATTTCTAGGTCAAGGTTGCAGCAGGCCCACTGTAATAAGCCTATCAGATCTTCTTTTTAAATTCAGTCTTACACAAGAAAATGTACTTTATCCACTTGTAGAAGTGCCATAAGTGTTTGACTTTCCACTGGTGAATAGTTCTTGTAGGGCTTTGCCTAGCTCTTCTAGTACTGGTACTTCCCTCTTGTTATAATTTGGTATAATTTGCAAGTTCCATTTGGAGAACAATATTACAGAGTAGCTGGTGTGTGTCATCATCCACGTGTGCAGCAACAGTGCTGTATTGGAACCTCTTGGTTCAAGCTTTTTCAAAGGTTTCTCCCTGACAACAGTCATCTGAGAATCTTCCTGCAATTTTATTATCTAGTAAATGTTGCTTTTTCAGAATTATTTCCCATAGTCTGTTATCACAGCCTTTGTTTGATACATTCTCACTTACAGACCCAATAAGTAGTTATATCTTTCCAGGTAAAAGTGACCCAACATTGTCCTGTTAATGTATACATATGCACAGTAATACCATCCTGGGGGGTATTCCTCTTTTAATTTTCATTCATTGTAAGGCAGTAAAATTAGGTCCCAATATGTGATAGAGTTTATCAGTGTTTCACTCCAGTGTTAGGTGAGGAAGTTTATTCCCCTAGCTATTGTTTGCTCCCACCATGGATAACAAGTTCAGGTAAAGGAAGAAACATATTACAAAAGTCAGAGCTTTTCAAATAAACACAAGAAGAAAAGAGGCCAGTCTCTGCTGGAAGCAAATCAAATCTTACTTGTTCTATAAGGTACTGGTAATGAAAAAGTGCAGAACTAAAAGAAAACTAATATTGCTATATCTAGAAAAATAAGAACATATATGAAACAGAGAAATGATCAGTTCTCATATGCTGCTGGGGACAAATTGTATCTTAGTCACTTCTTAAGTCATTGTTTAAACCACAGAGTACGTCTTCACATAAGTCATCCATGTCTAACATAGCTTGATCTATATCAAGGATTAGGTCTTCATCTTCTCTTGGTGTAAGTATTGAATCTAAATCTGAGAGCTCAGCAAGTTCTGGTAGTGAAGCTTCCTCAGGAGGAGAGGCATGTGTATCTATCTGTTCCTCTCTATTATTTTGTTCTCCGCAAGGAACTTGTTGTTCTTGCGAAATCAATTGTAAAAGCTCTTCAGCTATTCTTATTAACTGGGCTACACAATCAACAAGTCCACCAATTAGCACAGGAATCGACACTGACTCCATGCCTCTATGCTCTTCTCAGTAGATAATAGATTACTAAAAGTTGCACCAAATAGGCTCTTGGTGACAAGGGATCCTGTGGGGCTGGCAATGGTTCTGTGGTTGGTATATTATTGTGATGACCAGTGCAGAATGAGGCCAGTGGTCCTATAGCACTTTTTGATGATGTTGGTGAACCTCCCACAAAGTTTACACTAGTTGTGAACTGCTGTTATAATGACCATCAGACAGATTGCCACAGCCAAGAGAAAACAGCAAAGCAGATCTAATAATAGAAAAGAGAAATACAAAGATTAGTATTCTTAAGGCTTTATCCATCCTACAGGTTCTGGTTGTAGGATACCCCTATACCCCTATACCTCCTTTTCTGATGACTTAATGAGAAGCTACTATCCATATTCTTTCTTTTGAACTTCTCATGGTCTTTATCCCTTGTTAGGGATTTGAGACCAAGTGAGTATAGGCAGCTTGTCTTTCTTTCTTAAACATCTCTATTAAGGAAGATACATTCACTTAGGGTCTTTCAATTAACTCTTTTTAGTAGCACCTTTGCTTTATTGCCATTTATATCTTGGTGCTGCTAAATTCTTCGGTGTCTTTAATAATCCATTCATTAATGCTTCCAACTGCCCCTGCAGGCTGGGGAGTGTATGGTAAATGTCAAGTCCCACATTCTCTTTTGGCAAACTTTGGACAACTTTAGCTATCAAATTAATTCCCTGGCCATTTCCTATGATTGTTGATCTTCCATATTTAGCAGCTAGTTCCTCTAACTTTGTCTAAAGCCAAGGTTGTGCTACTTTCATCTGCATGTTTGGTAGGCTATGCAAATCCTCTTATTGAGTAAGTAACACTTCTATAAGGCAATATTTATTATTATTATTATTATTATTATTTTAATTCTAGGTATTGGTCCAATATAATCTACCTAACATATTTGTCTGGTTTACCTCCACCCCTGAAGAGTTTGTTGAGGATGCAAGAATTTTTTCGTAATTTGACATATCTCATGTTGTTTACTCAGGTTTTTTATCTGTTTGATTCATAGATAGCTTTTCCCCCCACTTTCGCATCCGCTTAGCTAGTGTATTCACATCCATACACCTGAGTTTCCATGAGCCCATTCTGCAATCTCAGACTGAACTAACAAGGTAGCTGAGTCAGGGCTTAGGAGTCTCCAAGGCTGCACAGTCTATATTAGTTCTGGGGGTCAGATTGTCTCCTCCCTCATTCCAATCTCAGTCAGGCTTTCCCTAGTGGAGAATCGTAGGAAGCAGCCATCATCTCACTCCTTCGGGATACTGCCAAGTTTCTAATCGCCCAGTTTCCAGCAATTGTGACCAGAGTGTGGCCAAGCAATGCACAGGTTTCACATCCAGCTGACAGTACCTCTTGGATCTTTATTGAATTACAGCAAGTCATCAGCCAGATGGTCTGTGACTTACACATAGAGCTTGCTGGTCTCCACAGGGCCTGATTTGACCCACTCAGTTATATACTATCTCCACTTAGCATAGATCTTGTCAGAACCACTACATTTTTTTTGGGGGGGGGGGCGTCTAAAATCCTACTCGTAGGTGTGGTGTTTTCTGTGATGATAAGGGCCACAGTCATGATGACCAGAAGGCATGATTTTGGTTGGAGGAAACTTTCCATCTGACTTCTGGGAGAATGGGTACTAGATGGCATGGTAGTCTACTTTATTAACTCAAATTATCTCTGTTTTATGATTAGAGAAAAAGTGATCTGGGAGAAGGAAATATGGAAAGAAATCAGTGAAAGGAATTTAGCATTAAAGTAGAGCATGCATTAACTCATCAGAAGGGAAATACAGAAGAAACAACAACTAAAAAAAAAAAAACCAAATCCATTGCCGTGGAGTCAACTCCCACTCACAGTGACCCTATAGGACAGAGTAGAACTGCCCCATAGGGTTTCCAAGGAGCAGCTGGTAGATTGAAACTGCCGACTTTTTGGTTAGCAGCTGAGCTCTTAACCATGGTGCCACCAGGGCTCCTATCTCTCTATACCAAAAAACAAACCTGTTGCTGTCTAGTCAATTCTGACTCATGGCAACCCTATAGGACAGAGTAGAACTGCCACATAATGTTTCGAAGGAGCACCTGGTGGATTCAAACTGCCGACCTTTTGGTTAGCAGCCGAACTCTTAACCACTACACCGCCAAGGTTTCCTAGCAGGACTCTTTTATTCCTTCTTGGTCAATATGCCTCTATTCATTCACCTATGTGTTTCATTCTGTCACAATCTCTGTATCTCCGTCTTCCCCTATCCCTTTCCATCATCTTTTCTTCCACCTCCCTCCCTAAACTGTGCAAAATTTAGAAATTAATTATATTTCATTCATCAAACTGATATTAATTTTTACATGATCTAAATGTAAAAAGCAGAAAAGTAGAACATACCGTATTTTGCTCTTTTCTGTAAAGACAAAGGTAGTAATAAAATCGGAGGTGTAACTAAGGTATGGCAGGTAGAGGGCATGCCCTGCATACCACTTGAGGAGGGGCACTAACTAGCAGTTTCTATTGGCCATCGCAGTTTCCATCACCAGCTGTGAGAGATCGTAAAACAATTTAAAACTGATTGCCATAGGCGCTATTTTCCATAGATAGGCCCCTGTTACTTATTACTTATGCAGCCCTTGATTTAGTTTATCTGTGGCTCAATCACTTTTGATCGGAAAAAAAAAAGTTTTCTGACCTAGCCTTAACCTCACTGAACCCATCGTTCCTTGTGTTCTCTAATCCACAATTCCTATCTCCAAAGCACTTTGGAACCTAGGAGTGTAGGGGGTCGGGGCGTTGAGAAACTCCTAAGTATTGCAATATCAAGAAAGAGTTTTGTTTTTTAAGTTGCTGTAATGTCTATTCCGACTCATGGCAATCTCGTGTGTTTCAGAGTAGAACTGTGCTCCATAGGGCTTCAATGACTGTGTTCTTAAGCATCAGCTAATTACACTTATAGTAATTCCCAAAGCAACCAACCTTTGATACCTGACTTTGCCTAAAGGCATACTTTGGATAGTTTGCACCTAAACCCAACTCACTGTAAGGGCCGTTTTACTAGCTATTTCCTCTGCCTGTGATGCCTTTCCCCCTGGGGGAAAAAAAAAAGACTTCTTGTCATTTTAGTCTCAGTTTAAATACCGCCTCCTCAGATTTCTGACCCCCAACCTGAAACAGCCCCCCAAACATTCCTTTTCTCACGATGCACACATCACATTTTTTCATTATAGCACCTATAGCTACCTCATATTTTCTTGTTTATATATTTGGTTTTGTCCGTCTCCCACCACCACATATACACAGACTGAAATGTAAGTGCCTTGAGAGTAGGAAGTATGGCTGATTTGTTCTCTGCTCTATGCCGAGGGCACAGACAAGTGCCTGCCACATAATAGGCATTTAATAAGTGTTGATGAATAAAGGAAGGGAAGGAAGGAGAAAGGAAGAAACAACTTATAGCTCACTCATTAAGTAAATATTATTAAGCCTCTACCATGCGCAGGGATAATAACAGGGCACACAAAGATAAGCCAGTTCATTAAAACACACAGTTAAAAAGATGAACAGGCAACCCACAGACTGAGAGCGAATATTTGCAAAACATATACCTGACAAACAACTTGTAACCAGAATATATACATATAACAAAAAAACAAACAACCCAATAAAAAAATAGACAAAAGATTCAAACAGACATTTCACAAAGGAATAAACATTAATAGCCAGTAAGCACATGAAAACTTACTGGACATCATTAATCATCAAGAAATGCAAATTAACATCACAATGCGACACTACAACACACTCTCCAGACTGGCTAAAATCAAAGACTGGCAACACCAAATACTGACAAAGATAGAGATCAAACAGAAATCTCACACACTGCTGTTGGGAGTGTAAAATCATACAATCACTTTGGAAAAACGTCTGGAAGTTTCTTATAAAACTAAGCATACGCCTATCTATGACCCAGCAATTTCACTCCTAGGTATTAACCCAAGAGAAACGTAAGTGCATGTTCACAAAAAGACTTTTGCAGAAATGGTTATAGCAGCTGTATGCATTATAGCCAAAAAACTGGAAAAAGCCCGTGTCCATCAACAGGAGAATAGAGAAACAAACTGTGGTATATTCATACAATATGATATTACTCAGCAATAAAAAGAAATGAACTACTGATAAAGGCAACATGGATGAATATCAAAAACAGTATACTTAATGAAAGCAGCTAGACACAAAAGAATACATACTGTATGATTCCATTCATAAAAAATTTTAGAAAATGCAAACTAATCTATGGTTGAAAAAAATCAGAACAGGGTTGCATTTAGGGGGCTGGGGACTGAATGGGAAGGAGCATATGAGAACTTTCTAGGGTGACAGTAATAGTCACGTTTTCGATGGGGTTTTGGGTTACACAGGGGTATGCATTTGTCAAAATTCACTGAATAGTACTCTTAAGATGTGCATTTTAACTGTATGTAAATTTTACACCTCCCAAAAAATGAGCCAAGCACATCCCCAGCTTCAGGAAGCATATGTCAGATGAGATTACATGCCAATAAATTATTCCAATAAATGCTGACATTTATTGAGGGCCTATTATGTGTCAAGCACTGTGTAAACCACTTTTTTATATTAGTACACTTAATCCTCACAATTACCCCATGAAGTTATAGATGGCAAAACTGAGAATCATAGATATTAAGTACTTGCCCATGGTCATATGGCAAGTAAGATGCAGAGTTGGCTTTTAAAGCCAGGTCTGACTTCGAAAGCCCTATGCTAGAGAACACGAATTCAGGTACCTATAGGAGCAAATTTGCCTTATTGGGGCCTGAGCTAATATAGCATTCTCCTGAGCAAGAACAGAACTGAGAATGGTAATTTCATTTGATTGTTTTTCCTAAGGCAGAGAGATGGAGACAGCCTAGGGGATCGTCATCATCCATAACTAGGATCAGCGAGGTTTGGTC